CTGCTGAACTGGTACCCTTCGCTGCAATGACACGTCGACATGCTAGCTCCCGTAGAACCGTCCGATCTCATCTCTCTGACATCCCGGCATCATTCAGCTCTCATGGGACAGTCATTATTGAACCTAAAGGAAAGTCATTGGTCGCATTGTTGCTGCTGCTGCACTAACTGTGATTTCATTTGGCAAAACTAGATCTCATATATTTCTGACGCTCTTTAGAGTGAAAGAAGCTGAGTCAAAAGACTTAGACTTTAGATTTTGTCAGCTCTGAGACATGATGAACACTTGAAATAGTATTGGATGACAATGATCACATGTCACAAAGTTTTTACAAAGCACCTAATTGGACTTAATTATACACAGTAATAAAAAGTGTTAAAATCCTCATTGCTGGACCAAAGGCCTGGGATTTCAGTTGTTTTATCTCAGCTTCACAGTATATTTTATGAAATGATCACAGGTTTGATGTTATTTATAAACATTTTCCTGTCTATCCACAGTCAATCCACTTCGTGTCTTACTTAGCTGTTTTTGGGTCAGGTGTTACTATTTAAGAAACCCTGTCTTAGTCCATATACCTCAGTGGTTTCCAAAGTCAGGAGTGAGAGCACTCTGAGGGGCACGCAGTTGATTCAGTGGGCGTCGTAGCAAAGCAAAGTAATTAAAATTTTAATATGTTCTTTATTTTGTACCAAGGTAGGGCAACTGTGTGGATTTGTAACTTCATTGAAAGAACTGATTTGTAGGGATTACAGCACTGTTTTTCATCCTTGGGGACGGGATCCCATTTAGGGTCGCCAGGATTTTAAATGAGGTCGTCTGAAATGTCTAGCAATTAATTAAAAAAACTACTGATAAAATATTTTTTCTACTGATTATTGCTCTATTTAAAATTATGATTAAAGACAACGCACACAATCTTCAATAACTGTATTCTCTCACTTTCATAAATATAAATCGAGTTCAAATAAAATGCGGCATATAAGAATTTCGGCTGCGATCACGTGACTGCACATGTGACAGCCAATAAAATGTCTCTGGGGTCGCCAGAAACTTGTGATGTCAACATGGAGTCACAAGCCCAAAAAATAGTTGGAAACCACTGGACTACAGTGTTATACACGCAGTTCAGTGGCGATGTGAAGCAAATCCTGCTCTACGGTACTAATACCAACCATAAAGGGGGCGCTGTTGACAGAATCTGGGAACCACTGGTATAGGATTGTGTTTCGTGTATTACCTACAAATGTTTTGTTCCCACCTTGAGACCAAAAGCAGTTGCTTCATGGAAGCAGCCAGACTTTCGTGTGTCTGTGAGGAAAGTTCTGTTTACGTGGCTGCCACGCTGAAAAGTCAAGACACTTTGGTTTATGGCAGCAGGAAGAGATAGAGATCAGAGGAGGTGTCAGCTGCTGAGTCTGCAGCCGACTCCTCTGGCTCCTCTCCCCTCTCTCCCAGGAACCCAACACCAAGTCAGGCCACCAGCACCGAGCGGGGGAATGTGAGGAATTCTCTCAACACATTTGCTCACTGCTTTGCACGTTCTCACTCCTGCAGGATGTGAAGCGTGCCGCCGGGGCCCCGTGGATGAGAGCACCTTGCCTCGACAGAGCGAGCGCGTTCTGGCCGGACGAGGGGGCGGCAAATGATCGTGTGCTGGGTGCAATTTGGCTGATGGGCAGAGGAGAGCGTCAGGAATGGCTTTCTGCTGAGAGAGTGAGTCATCCTGGACAGAGCTGCTGTCACTCTGCCAGCACAACAAAGTTCAGATCGTTTATTTTTGTCACTGCCCCAGCTGAATGAAATGTAAATCCACATAGAGTTGATCAAAGGTTTTGGCACGAGGCCCGTCCCGAGAAGCGCAGCTAATAACTTGCAATATTGAAGAAGTATCGGGTTTCCATTCCATACCAATTGCACAAAAACTGACGGAAGTATTTATGGGACGTTCCCCTTCTGCTGTTGAGTAAATCTTGTACTCTAGGTAGTAGTTGCTAAGCAAAGTTTTGTTTAGCCGACTCAGTGTGACCAGTGACATTTAAGTATCCTAAAACCAAAGGTTCACAGACCTCGCTTTGTCCTACAAATTCAGTTTCTCCAACAAACCTGGGGACTGTGGAATATATAGCAATGTTTCAGTCACAACTTTTACTCAATTTCTAAAATTTTCTCTAAGCTGTAGTTTTAATTAATTCAATACCTTCCAGAAACAATGATAAAAAACAAAAAAATGAATTAATTTGACTCAAAGTCAAACAGATTTAGAGCAGATGGGCCGCCCTTATGTCACAGTGAAAACTTGTGGTTGACATAACTGAAGTAATTTTTAGTGTCGCTGAAATCAGTGGATGTTCTTTTCTCCAGCATTGAATTTCAGTACAGTGGTCAACCAATGAAATCTGTCCTACTGGGTCAAAGGGCAAACATCCCTCTGATGAAGTTCAGACCAAGTTAAAACACTGTTGAAGACCCGCATGACGAGTGTGAAAGTGTGTGTGTGTGTGAAACAGAAACCAATTTGCAGCTCTTGGACATAAAAAGGTATCCATAACTTCTAGAAATGCTTTTCTTCATCATTTTATAGTAAATCATTTTGTTTTGATAGGAAGGGTTCACATTTGACTTAAGGTTTTAACTCTAGTTTTGTGAGTTTATGAAAGTGTTACTGAGATTAAAATCACTGAGCTGGTAGTTTAATGTGGATAATTTTCCTGGAATTTGTTGAAAAAGTGTTTTTATTATTATGCTCGGTCGACGTTTTGGCCATTGTTCTGGTTAAAGATAGGGTTTGCTAACATGCTAATATCTACAGTGGATTTTGACCCACCGAGGATTTTCCGCAAATAAACCCCTCCAACAACCCACACCATTACAGAGAGAATACGGTCGATAAGGCAACTATTTATATTACATTATTATATATATATATATAAGTATTAAGTATTTAGAATTGTCTTATCTGACGGAGAGCCGTGGTCTTCCCATACTTCTTATTCTTGCATGTGGACATCGCCCTCTGGTGTTGAGCGTCTAATAAAGCACCCGGCAGACTCCTGGAGAATAACTCACTGCATTGCAGCACTGGTACACAGGTTTTGACTGGAATCTATCCCACTTTTCATTTTGAGCACCGGAAGTACGTATTTAGACAATGAATCCCTGCCCTATTACGTTGAATTTGACTAATGAACAAAGAGTTTGCCTGTGCACACTATTGTCTTCAGGCACATAAATCAGTGTTGACGTTCCCAGAAAAAAAGAAAATCGGTCCACAAATTTCTGTCAGCCTCTGCATTGCAGTTGGTGTGACTGAGGGGAATATATAAATGAGATTGATCTAATTTAGGGATTTTAGACTCCTGAGCCAGAGCAACAGATGACTGAATTTCCTCGTCGTTCTGCTTCAGGAGAATGTTGCTCCAGTTTTGTGCAGCAGCGTTCCTTCATGTGAAAATGCTGCAGAGAGAATCTGATCCAGTCCATCTATCAACAGTCGAAGCAGCACCTGATTGCAGTGCATCCCAGGCATGACGAGACACAAAAGTTACTGTGGTGGTGACTGGTGCGACCGCGTTACAGGGTGGCCCTAATGACATTATGCCCCCCCGCTGTCCTCCACATTGGAGCTCAGCAGGATGCTGAGCCTCACGGAAGCTATTTTTGAGTGATGACAAGGAGCCAACACTGAATTGTTTGTTTGATGCTGTTTATATCGCAGTCATCACGTTCAATCCTGCTGCTGATTCACAATCTGTTTCCTCAGTTCGCCAGAAAAACGTACACCTTGGTAGTGCTGTCGTGTCACAGTGATTCAGCACAAAAATGGAAGGTAGAGCCAATATTTGATTTGTGTTTTTACGGGCAGAGAATGAGAATTGTCCATGTGTAATCATTATCTACAATAGCCTCAATCTCTTTGGTGCTAACTGGGCTAAAAAGCTAATTTTGTCAAAGATAAACCTAGTTACAAATACAAGACCCTGATGTATTCCTCCATCAAATACTTAATGTCAACATGGAACGCCATCTTGTTTCTCCATGCTTGTAACTCCATGAAGTAAAAATGCCAGCTAGCCTCCTGTAATACTCGACTTTTTATGCCATGTCGCAAAGTTTTCTGTTAATATATGCAGGACAAATAAAGATGCAGTGCAGAAGTGTAAGCTAAAAGGTAGTCGAAGACTACTGCATGTTAAAGACAAGTAGCTTAAAGGCAATCAAGAATGACATAAAATACGGTAATATTATTTTGATTTAAAACATTAAACAGCCCCTAGATAACTACACAAGTAGAAAATGTGTTAGAACAAACAAAAAAGGCAAAAACACAACAAAAAACCCAACAGTTCAAATGTCAGTCACTGACTGTAAGACCTTGACAAATCCAAACTAGACTGATCTCCATTAGTGAAATGACTTTTTATGTTACTGCACATCATTGCATGTCATTTTTTAGAATCAGCGGCCCACACTTCCTGTCATCTTTTTGTGATCGTTCCTCTCTGGCATTGCAATTAGTTTGGCGGCTGCCGTGTGTACACCAAAATGAAAGAGGTCTCAGAAAACAAACTCCGGAAGCCACTGATTGACAGATGTGTCTGCCCACTCTGGTTCACTGGCTGAAGCCGTGGCTGCTGCGGCTGTGCTGTGGTTGCCACTGGTCTCTGCCTGGAGGCATCCACTGCAAGGCCATTTCTAGGCTACAATAACAACACCACACGGACACGAGTGTGACGCCGGATATCCGAAACAGTCAAGAGAAAAGGAACTCATCAGGCCATATTTAGCTGGAGGTTTGTAAATAACTGATTATTTTCTGTCACTGATGGAGAGAAGAGCAAAAAATACTCTCAGACAAATACCCACAGTTGTTTGTCACATTAGCAGCAGACTCGCATCTTCGTTCATGCAAAACATGACAGCTATTTGCATCCTAAAATATCTGTATAGGACGGACTTAGGTCTATATCTTTTTTTTTCTTTCTCCAGCCTGTGTGGAATGTAAATAACAACACTGCTAGTCTCCACCTACGGAACAGCCATAGAAGGACAACGTCGCCGGAGTGTGTGAGCCCCACACAAACTACCACTGGCACATAACATAATGATGGCATTCACATCAGTGGTTGAGGGGGTAAACTGCCTCCAGACCACTTCCAACTAACAAGCTCAAATCCAGACCGCCGATGACATCACAGCTGCTAACCTGGTACATTCAGCTGGACGGTTCGCTCCAAAAACAGTCTGGCAACAAGTGCCCGAGACAGAAATAGGTGTTTGAAACATTTTTGTGGACGACAGGTTCATGCAATTTAATAGTCGAATCAAAATGATTAATGGAAGCTGCAGCAGTAAGTTATTATCCTGCTGTGTTTTAAACGGAGGGTAAATGTCATATCTGAATGAATTATTTATGGGCCAGTTTGTTAGCATAATAAACAAGGCATTTTAGACATAATGCAAATGGAACTGTTAGACCATGAATTTTTTTAGAGATTAAATTTGTTGAAAATGACTAAATACCTAAGAGCTAACTGAAAAAAAGTTACAGTATTCAGTACAATATTCCTGGATATAATTCAGAATCTAACCACTAAAACAGAATTTATTTTCTACCCTCATGCAAACTTCCTCATAAAAGTTTTTTTGTGTGTATGTGAGGAAAAGGCATAAACTTAGAGAGAGAAGGATTTTTTAAAAGAAAAATATATATTATGGCAGTGTTTTCCAATTCAGATAGCTTCAATGTATTCCTTCTGCCCATTATTTTTGCTGTTGTCTTTGTTTTTGTTAGGTTGAACTTTACATATATCTTAAAAGTTTTCAAATTTTAGCTAACAAAAATTGCTGAAACACAAATGTAAGAAAAACGTATATACTGAGAAGGTTTGTATATTTAACATCATAAAGTTAATCATTTTAACTCTGTGCAATTGTCAGTCCAATATGTTACAGAACACCGACCTCGGAGGTGTTTCTACTGTTATTTTAGTAAAGTAAATAGACTTAGTGTTTCCACTATAGCAGTCACGTGACTTTGTTTGGGAACATACATTATAGGCGCAGAGGCGGTGCAACATAAATCTAAATTGTTTCCTGGTGGTAAAAATAAAAGCCATGCTCAGAAAGGTGTGAAACGCATAGAATTTCAAATTAAGCTTAAACGTATAGAATTGGTTTGTGTTGAATGAGTTAGTTGGGTTTTTTTATATATATAAATTCAATTACAGCTATTGCAATACATGTCAGAATCACAACATATAAACATGCACATGTGTGACTGAAAGCGTGATGTTGTGACCGCAGTGTTTGCTTGACTGGCTGATATTTTGGTCACGTATGTAGGCAGCTCTGGAGGAGGAGTGAGGAATGTGTGACCACAGAGCCCGTCGGCCCCACAGTGCATGTCTTCCTCCCTTGTCTGGGTACAAAGATGTGGACCATCACATCCCTGAACGGCTTATCCAGGTCCGCTGCATGACAAACCGCTGCCGACAGCCTCCCACTCACAAAGTAGAAAATGACAACCCTTGGTACAGCTGCAGCTCCCGGAGAAGACTGAGCGATTTCCCTTTTCCTGCACTTCACAGGGAGCTGTGATTGCCTCCGCCCTGAGTGTGGGCGTCTGGGTGGCTGAGGACATGTCAGGTTCATGTCAATCACCAGGTTGGACTCGTATACCTCTGTGATCAGGGGCCCTCTAGTTTCAGGCGTTTAGTGCCATCTGCTGGACTGCTGACTAAAAAGAAAAGTCTGACCGTCAAACCCTAAATTTACTGCACTGTGGTTTGGGATAATGAAGAACTGTTATTTGTCCCTTAAAACTTCCGAGTCAACATATTTTTAAGTAGCTAATGTTTATCTTCTTTTCGTCCGGAGGCCTGCACACCTACGTATGTGTTACCTTGTGCAAAGTGTGGTTCGACTTCCAGGTATCGCACAAGAAAAATGTGGAAAAGAAAAAAAAAAATCAGCCACCCATATACGTTTAATGCAATTGTTATAATGTCAAATACATTGTTGTGTCAGTGTTATTTAGCATTTTTTTTATCTTCTATGATAAGAGTTGCTAAGTTGTAGCCAATATTACTTTAAAAGAGTTAAAGCTACATAACCTAAACTTTGCTAAACAGTAGACCACGAGTTACTACTATCGCTTGAAATTATTATTATTAAATAAAGAAGTGTGTTCTAAAAATGTCATATAAATAAATGCCATCTACAAAAGTTTAAGTTTGTAGTTAAAATATAACTTATATTTACAGTATATTAGAATTGGCTAATTAATTAAACTAATAGATTAAACAGTACGAGAAGTACTTATTGGCGTTATTTTTTTAAAAAAAGTGTAGTTTTACGATTATTACTACTAGTAGAGTAAGAAATGGTGCATTTTTCTTCCATGTAAATCGCTTCAGCTCTGATCCAATTCAGCAGGTGGCGGTAGTGTCCCATAAGCTGCCCATTGCCGTCACCTGACTTAAGACGTCATCATTCGTCACGTCCGGATAAACTCGGGCGGGTTTTTAGAAAATGTTTTAGTAGCGTACCTCTCGACTATTGCTCAACAAAAGTAAAAATAATTATACATTTGAAGGGTTTTAATCCGCAGCCCCACCGTTAGTGCTATACAAACATTTAGTGACTTCTCTGGCGTTGACTTTAGTATAAATGTAGCCCTTTATTGGTCAGAAAAATAAGCACTAAGGACTTCACTGTATCAAATATGGACCGACCATCCAGGTAAGACAACGCTTATTAGCAGCTCGTAGCACCAGTTGGCTAACTTACCCTTTTAGTTTGTAGTTTTACGCTAACAGATTGTTGTTGATAAACAGGAAAACAAAGATGGTAAATTACCGTGAGTCCAACGACATGGACGACGATGATGGTGAGTAAAGTCTGGTCAATACTAAATACGTTCTATATTACCGTTTGTTATACGGGTTATTTTGTCGTACTTTTTGTCCACTTATTCTGTATTGCAGCCCCAACAATGAAGCTATTGCACTCAGGACTCCAACGTTTTCCTGCCCAACATTCAGCAATTTCCTAAACTTTTGCTACCCCATTACAATATTTTAAATATTTTGGTGGTTTTGGACTGACATTCTTATGTACATTTCATTTATCTTTTGACCAAATTTAATGTGTAATCTTACTTTTGGATTTACTGTAGACGACCAAATTTAATGTGTAATCTTACTTTGGATTTACTGTAGATTTACTGTAATTGTTGCTTACATTACTTAAATTCCTTTTGTCATTTATTTTAACTGCAATTTAAATGTCCTGTGTCTTACTACTACTACTGTAGCTGTTTTTTTGTCTGGTTTGTAGTTGGCCTTTGGCTGGTTTTTAATTACATTACATTTTTAAAGCAGTTTCAACATTCTTAATTAACGTTTACCTTTTAATTTTACCTTTCTGACATTTTTGGTAACTATTGTTGGTTTATGCAAAAAAACAAACACTGTACATATTTTTACCATGTTTTGACATTTGCAATCAGCAATTTAAAAACAAAAGTTTTCTAAAACTCTGAGCCCTTTCTATACTTACTCTTTGACAGTACTGTTGATTTTCTGTCATCTTAAATATATTCTGGGTTAAATTTTGCATACTGTTGGCATTTTATCTGATTATTTTAGTAAACATTTGTATTGCATTTAGACTTTAATAATGATTTACTTTGCTTGTTTAATGGAAGTATTTGTTAAAATGCAGTACATGTTTTCATTAAATTACAGTATCTAAGTATCACACAAGTTGGCACAGCAGCATTTTTACATAACTTAGTTTGTCTCTGTTTAAAAATCCTTGTACATCCTTGATTTAGGTGCTGGTCAAGAACATCTGTGGTTTACAAAATCTGACTGTTTTGTTTCAACTCACCTTATTACCTGACTGTACATCTGCTGATTTGTTACAGTTACCAACAAAAAGTCTTATGTCAACATCTTATGTTCTTGTTCTTTATACTTTTACGATAGATGACTTTGCTGATGTCAAGGCAGCGCCGAGTAAGAAATTCAGAATGGATGAGAAACAGAAGGACAAAAAGTCATCGAGTAAGTCCTCCAGCCAAGAAAGTAACTCTCTCAGCCAGAACAGCAGGTGGGTCAGCAATCACAAATGAGTTTTACTTTTGCTCTTCTGGAAAATGACTCTTTGGGTGCTCTCCAGACAAAATAATATATAAATTAAAGTAGATTTGAAAGACACATGGAAACAAAAAATACTACAGCTACTGCTTCAGGAATAAAGATAAAAATGTTTAACATTCACAGATTAAGAAAATTTTATGTCCAAAAAAGTAAACATTGGCTAACATTGGACTTTTCTACTTCATTTGTTGCCGTTTTTTATTTTCTTTCAACCCGTGATTCTCTCTCCCTCTCCTCCCACAGACGACCGCTGGACCAGAAGTTGCTTGATCGAGATCTAGAAGCAGCCATTACACTTTCTTTGCTCAACAGTGTTTCTGAAAATAGGGTTCAGTCAACTGCTACTAAAGGTTTGCTCTCTTCTGATTTGTATTATGTGCTGGAAAATTACTTTAAATTTGTTTAAAGTGTTTCCTTGATTGTGCTTTAGAAGTCAAAGTTCAACTTCCAGTCGATGAAAATACAGATCCCTTAACAGTGCATCTGTCCAACTGCAGTGTGGATGCTGCTCAGTTAGGTGAGTGACATCTTTGAGGGACACCACGGGTTCTCACTGCAGTCACAGATTGGAGTCAAAAATATTAAATTAAAGTAATTTAATTGTTTTATTTAGGGTTTTTTTGCCTGTTGATTAAAAACTAGTCAAAATAGTAAGATTAAAGTCAGCTGTCAAGATAAAACATTCTTTATATTCCCTGTTACAACCTTAACCACTGCTGATACAAAGTTTTTGTTTGTTTTAAATTCTAGGTTTGGATGAAATCACGTCCGAATACAGATCACCTGCTCCATCTAAACAGAGAAAAGCTGCTGCTGCTGCTGAAAAGAAGAAGCAAATACCAGAGGAGGAAGATGAGGATTATCAACCCAAACTGACTCCAGGTCAGAGTTCATCATCTGTATTTTTATTAAAGCTTTGGGTTTCCATTGTACTGAATGTATTGTGAGGTTATTTTATATATTTTAGACTCAGAAAGTGATGAAAACTTCAGTGAAGCTGAGGAGAGCGAAGACGATGAATTCACTGTGAAGAAGGTCAGCAAAGTTCAGAAGAAGGAGAAAATAACCACAGAAAAGAAAATCAAGTCACCTGCTGCTGCCAAAAAAGAAAAACAGACGCCTAAACCAAGCAAATCGAAACCTACAGCAGCAGCAGCAGGTCTGTATCTGTCATTCTTAACAAATCTCTGTTGAGTTTTGAATGTGTATAAGAAAATTGTTTTCTTTATTTCACAGCAACTTCCATCACACCAGTAAGAAAACCAGCAGGAACAAAATCTGCACCTCTCATGCCTGCTCTATCTCCGAATCCAGCAGGGGGCAGAACACCAAAGTGGAACCCACCAGGTAAAATCACAGCACAGATATGGTGTTCTAATGTTTTTGTACTTTTTACTAAAAGTTTTTGTTTTCTCCTCAGGTCACGTGGGTAAATGTCCCAGCTCTTCCTTGAGTCCACCACTCAGGTCTCCAAGTCAGGGTCTGAGACTCGGACTCTCAAGACGCGTACGAGTCAAACCTCTTCATCCCAGCGTGGCCACTCACTGACTCAGCTCATCACATCTAAATGTATGTCGTGTTTAGTTTCATCTTTGCTACTTTTAAAAGTTGTGTTAAATAATTTCTTGTAATTTTTTTTTCTCTGAAATTGTTTAGCACAGATCCCCCCCCCATTTACTGACATTTTAAGATTAAAATGATAATGAGATAAATAACAGATTCATGTCTTTAAAACCCAACATTGTATTGACTTTGTACATTTTATTGGTTGTTGACCAGATGAAAAGTTAAAATGTTTCTTTGTGAATCTTATTTAAAAGTCAGAAACATTTAATACTATGTATATGTGTGTAAATTAAAAAAAAACATACCAGTATTTTCACTCTTGTTTTTTGTTGTTGTTGTTGGTTTAAACTTCCAAACTAATTTACACCTTTTGCGTGAGCTGTTAGCTACCGTCTTAGCGTAGGGAGTAAAAAGAAGGTAATATATTTACAGCCTCAACAATGAGGCAGTTTATATGTAAATTATACTGTGTTAAATAAGTCAGCGTAATGTTCGATAAAGTGCTGATGACAATGTTCAAGTCTGACAGGAAACACTGCTATAAATGGTCAGGACTGTTCAGCAACAAAAGTTTCCCATTTACTCTGCCACAGGAGGCGCCCTTTTTCCTTCAGCTGAGCAGGCAGCGAGCTGTACCTGAAAATAGAAAAATAAAAATGTTTACATGTACAATGTTATACAAAGAAGCACTAACATACGAATATTATAAACAAGACTTTAGCTATTTGTAAAAAAAAAAGCCTGTTGATAATTTGCTACTTTGTTGCTCGTTTTGCTAATTGAGCTATTTCCAAACTATCAGCTTTAGTTACATGAGTTGTAGTTAAGTTGTTTTTTTTTTTTACTGGACTTTTTTGAATTTTTATTGACTAAATTTGGATGCGCTTGTTGACAGGAAATTTAACTTTTTTTTAATTTAACTGCTAAAAAATAATCAAAAGAAACAGAATTTAAAAATGACATGAGCTGAGTAAATAGTTACTTGATGGAGTTGAGAGCCAGTTCTTTCAGAGTTCCCAGGTTGGCCTTTAATCCACCAATGCCGACAAAAGCCTGGTAAAAGTCGTAGGATAGTCCTGTGGTACCGAACAGAGACGGGTCATCAGAGCTGATGACCAGAGGGTGACCTTCGGACATGAGAACAGCTGCAGGATGGTTCCTCAAGTCTGATACCAGCTTCAGCACCTGTGTAGCACAAGTACAGTCAAAGACAATAGTTGTAGCTACGGTAACTGTCATAATGAACAAAAGTCGGTCCAACCTGGTTAGAGATAGGACACAGCTCCACAGGAACGTCTTTCCTTCTGGACAACTCTTTGGCCAGTGGATGATGAGCCAAAGCGAAACCGTGTCCGATTCGTTTGGTGTTGAACAGGAGAGCATCTAGAATGTTCTGATCCACGTCTGTGCCCTCATTGTCTGCAGAACCATTCAAAACAAAGTCAGAGTTTGAAATATACAAATTTCTATCCCTGGCAGTATTTTGAATTCCTTCAGTTCTCAATACCTGTTTCGCCTGCATGAAAATAAAATGGCAGTGTTGAGCCCAGCTCCTCAGGTAGAGACAGGGCATCTCTGTAGAACCACAGAGTTCTGCCACTGTCCTCCCTGCCAACCTGTAAATGACAACCAACAACTTTAACTAAAATTTTTTGCTGTAATTGTAAATAAATTTTTTTGCTGTAATTAACAGTTTAATTCTCACCATGTCGAAGCCTGCGACTACATCAGGGAAAGTCTTGTGCAGCTCCACTGCCTCCTTAACAACGTCTTTCACCTCATTTACTCCCAGAGCCCTGGAGACAGCAGTGACCAATAGACGTCAGAGCTAGTACTGTTCTATAACTGGACCCGTCAGAAAAGAATTCCAATAAATTACTGGTTTTAATTTAATAGAAAGTCCGTGAGGTAGAGAGAAAATTGGATTAACCAAATGCATGAATAAAGTTTTTCATTATAACATGTTGTATTGTATAGTTGTTCAGACACATGGACCTTTGTTCGGCGTAATGAACAACTGCAGGACACAGCTGTAAACGTGATACTTTAGAGAAGGGCATTCACTCTCACTAACAAGGGCTTTTTGTTGCCCAGAGGAAATGAGGTTAAGGGGTATTTTTGCCTCATTGTCAGTGCAATTTAAACAAATGTATTTACTCACTAAATGTTGACGGAAATATCTTGTGGTCAAAATGTCAATAAACTAGCTTACAGTTATACTTTGGTATGTTTAAGGTTGCTTTTAAGTTTAATATTACCATGGTTGTTAACATGCAGGTGTTTAGGTAATTCTGGTTAAGCATTAGCTTTTATTCTTGTGTATATTTTTAGCTTCTCAAGCTGTTCCTGGTCCGTAACCTGAGACCCGTAACCAAAGATGTCTTTTTTTTGTGATTTTTTTATTTTATTTTACATTTTCAGAAAAAAATACAAGTCATTTACAAGATAGTTATACCACACAAAACTTGGTGTTTTATGTACCTGTGTGCAGAAATGATCATGCGAGCCCCTAGGAAGTCTGGATGATCTGCGGTAAACTTCTTAGTAACTTCTTGAAAGGTCTTCAGAGTCCAGACTCTGTCGTGAATGGTACCGTCCATTTCATAGGTCTGTGATGAAGAAGATTTCACTGTTAGATTTGAAAAGACAGTTTGCAGAGGACAAAGGGAAAAACAGGGACCTTGGAGACACCACTCCTCAGCTCCAGGTACATGATGTTATCCTGGTGCAGCTCCTCCAGGCCTCTGTAGTAATAGTCCCTCAGCACTGGAGCGTGAGTGATCAGACCTGCAGCAGCAATGAAGGACTTCTCAAACTTTTCCCACACAGCGTCCTGGTTTGGATACTCATGATCTGGATCCTCAGTAAAGACTGACAGGTGCTTCATTAAGCTAAAAGTGAAAAAATATTCATACACTGCTTCACTTGTTTATCTTTAATTGTCTGACAAATTGTGTAATGAAGGAAGTCTTCAACCTGTTGTCAAACTCTGTAGGATCTTCCAGTCTGGACCTCAGCGTCTCCAACAGCTGCCAGTAGAAACAGTCCCACCGTGGGAAAGGCTGACTGTCAGAGAACAGGAAGCGGACGTTGTTGTCCCACGTGAAGCAGATGTGACAGTGAGGCCTGTAGGTGACGTTTTTCACCAGCCACTCCACGCTGACCAGAGCAGAACTGTGAATGTGCAGCGCTGCACCTGTCAGTGACACGGCAGTGAGGTGAGGCAGAATATAAAAGTTTTTAAATGATAAAAATATTTTTCTTTTGCATTTGTCTCTTGGTTTATTTAGAATTATTTATGCTGTTAACCTTTGTTTTACCATGGGGGAGTTAAGATTACAAAGTCAAAAAACAATGAAAACAAAGCTAAGTACAACAAGAAATATGTGATACAATTTAAAATCTAATAAATTGGCATTTTTGATTGATTCCAGGCACGGGATTCCAATTTGTTGTCTCTGAGTGTACATTTAGCTAGCTCTTGGCTAATCTTTCTTACATGTTTTACATTAATTGTATATAAATAAACAAATAACACATAATTTGGCTCTGTCATAGCTTGAAACCATTTTGGGTGTATCTGTGACCAACGTTTATTCGTTTGCTAGTCATTTTTTAGTTATTTTGTGGCTATTTTGACTAGACTTTAGGCAGTATTTTAGGAGCTGGAGTTAAGTGCTTTATTCTTGTGTTGTTAAAGTAATTATTCAATAGCTAGAGGTTATCTAAAAATGCAATACTACAGACAAAACAGTTGTCACAGAAATAGCCAGAATAGACTTAAAAATAACAAGAGCATCTAAGGGTTATAATATAGCTGATAGTTAGCTAGGTAATGGAAGTGTTTGAGAAAATGATATCCTCTGATTTACTCTGCATTTATTTTAACGTATTACTTCAAATTTGTAATGGGTTGACTTACTTTTTGGATATTCCATCGTTACAAATTAAAACATTTAAAAATAATTTGTTTAAACCAGCACTGCTGGATCATTCATCATCACCTTTCGGCATCTTCTGCAGCAGTTTGAAAACTGGGCTCTTCTGAATGAATGGTTTTGCCTTAAAAAAGTGCATAGAGGGTAGAAACTGAGGTGCAGAAATCTCTTTCTCCTTCAGGTGGTGGAGGTGAGCATCCAGCTTCTTCTCAGCTTCTTCTCTTAGTGTCACCTGGCCCCCGGTCAGTCTGGACTCCTCCTGATGGATAAGCAGCTCCCTCTGGGCCGGGTCTGGCATCCCATCAGACGACCTCCAGAAAAGCAACAACAAGGGCAAAAAAGTGACCCTAGTCTGGTGGAGTGAGAGCAGCATATCGTTGAGGACCCCTGCTGACAGCCACTGTTCTATTCCTTCTTCTCCGTCTTCTAGAATATGACCAGGCGTTCTCCACTGAGAGAGATGGCTCTGCGCAGTCTAGACACTGGTGAGTAAATTGAACAGACTTGTTTTTATGGAGAAACCAGCATGATGACTATCTGCTGAGCTCACATTCCACTGCTGACAGACTTCATTTAATCTCCTCTGTTTCCTTAATTAAGTATTTAGGCATTAATAAAGAGAAACATTTAGAAGTCTTCATATTTTCAAAAGCCAAAAGGTAGACTCAAAATATAGGAGGAATCTGCATTGTCAAGAAAAAAAAAAGACTCACGTGTAAGAAGGAGCTCCTGTGTCTTAGTCTCATTCGTCTTCCTGAACAAATCAGCTGATTCCCCACACAAAGCTCCGACAAGACTGTTGGTATGTCAGTAGAACACTCCCAGCAGCTGAATCATTGGAGCATTCTGCCCAATGTGATAAACCAGGGGTTAGCAAACTTGAACAAGTTGACCAGATTAGGGATAGAAAAATTCACATTTTGACAGATTTTGTTTTGTTTGTTTAGTTTTGACCAAATATGACACAAAATAGTTGACATTTTGACAGAAATTTTTATAAAAATTTTTTCAAACAATGTTCTATTAATGCCCCAATTTTATGAGAAACATGCAACAAAAGATAATATTTTGAAAATTATTTTTACGTGATTTCTGACAATGTTTTTAGTTTTTGACCAAAAACGACACGAAAAGTTCACATTTTCACTCTCCCACTTTAAATCACAACTAAAAACACATCTATTCAAAACTGCATATTCCCTCTGATTGAAGTAACGCACCCGCCCCATCACCCCCCGACTTGTACTGTTTTAACTGTTTTCAACAAACCACCTATAGCACCCCCCGACTTTTAATTAATTGACTTATTTATTGTATTTTAAATTGTTTTTAACTGTTTTACATTGTCTCATAATGTTTTAATGTTTTTACTGTCTTTTCTTGTATTGTGTACGGTGACCTTGAGTGTCCAGAAAGGCGCCTATAAATAAAATTGATTATTATTATTATTATTATTTTGACAGAAACTTTTATTTAAAAAAAAATTCAAAACATTTTCTGTAAAAGAAGATATTTAGAAAAAACATACAAAACGCAAGAATATAAAATGCAAGAACATAAAATGCAAGACTATGTCCTAAAA